GAAAAAATAGGAACAACAGTTTAACTAGCCTTGATGAGTGAACTGACAAGAGACATTTAAAGTGTTTTGGGTTTTTTCTGCTCATCAGTTCAATTTATAGGCATAGCAAGTTTCCATAAATAATAGCGTATACCTTTTAGTCAATGCAAATTAAGTTCCTTTTTCTAAGTTTTTATTTCACAGATCTGGCAACTGCAGTTTAGTGTGCTTTAGGAAAACACACATGTAATATGGATAAATTGCATTTCACAATATAACTGAGTCTCCAATGCAGATTTTAGTCTGCAAGTGATAAACTTACTAGAATTATTGCCAAAGATACAGATTTCAGCCTGGCTTTCATTTGCCATAAACCCCTTATTTTACTTTGACAATAAATAGAGACTTTGCATGTAAAATATAATTTCAAAATACTGTCAGAATGATGTGAAAAGTTGCTCTGGTAATTGAGCATCAGGTCCTACCTGAGTGCTGGGAGCAGGACCATACCCAGCCACGTGCCACACCGCCACTCACTTATTTTGAATAGCAGTGTGCTGCTACTCCATGTGACAAATGGATTTCTCCTGACTCGTGGTTCAAACTTCCCTCCCCCATGCCTCAGCTTGTGCAGGACCCTCATGTGGCTGGGATGGGGATGCCAGGCAAGTGTTGAGGGTGCCTTGCTTGAGACCAATTTGCCATTTCTTGAGCTCATTTACCCTGGCACTGCCTGTACAGGTCAGTGTCACCCCTGACAAACTGCACAGGGTCACCAGTTTAAAACCCTTGCTGTGGACTGTGAATTTTGACCTGCCTTCAGTGTTAAACATTGGCAGGTGGCTGATAAAGAACGTAATGGTAATGGGGTATGTTTTGGATAGCTTATTTCAGGCACTTAAGCAAGGCAGTGAGGGAGCAGCAGGCCAGAGGAAAGCTTTCCTCAAGCCCGTTTTGCCAGCAAGTAAAATGTTGGCAGATCCACAATCTCAGTCTACGGTCTGTGTGCTCAGGAGTTATCTAGGAAGGACTTCAAAGTGGGTACGTGACTTTCATGGCTTGTTCCAAAACACATTAAAATGAAGTAAATTAAATTTCTGTATTTTTTATTTTCTGGAAAACTTAAGGGCAAGATGTTTCTGTGACAAGCCTCATACATTTGGAAGCACTGGAAGAATGTGTCAACAGTTTGAAATCTGGGGTCTGACAAAGTGGCCTGTATGCTCAGACAGATGTTTCGGTGATGAAGAAACTTGCATTTTATGCCAACAGTTTTGAATATTTAAAACTCTTTCCTGTATAAGTCCTTCTTTGACTGAAGTAGTACCATGGCTCTGAAGTTGTGTCTGCAACTGAATTCCCCAGCTGAGGTTTGTCTTGACACTTATGTGTGGGAAGCTCTGCAGTGCTGTGGATGACATCACAACTGGATATCACAACTGGAAACTCAGAGAATATCATGTTTATTACTTATTAAACTGGCTGTTCCACCAGTCCTTTAGCCTCTGAAGGATATTAAATGGCAGACACTGCACAAATAATGAAGCCTTTCAGATGATAAGGTGGGAACAGAAGGGCTCTGGTGGCCTTCAGGGCAGTACAGCAACCATTTTGTGATCTGTCTTCAGTTGCAGGTCATCTTTCATTCATGTATGGTTTTCCTAGCCTGAGATATGCCATGCTGTTTTTTCTCCTCTGAGTGCTGCTGTGTGTGAAAACCCTGTTTCATTAGAAATTGCTGATTTAAGAGTCACTCTGATTTAAGATGTTCGCAATGTAATTTTCCTCTTTACTGCATTTGTCCCCATTTTTTTGTTTAATATAAGCACGTGTGAGTATGAACCCTCATGAGACAGTTTTGCCATGCTGTAGCTGCATGGTGTTACTGTACTTTCATCTCATCTCCCTGAATGGATCCATGTGATATTTGACCTCCTTAGGGCATTGTGCTCTGCTCTTAATCTTTAGGGGTCTGTCCAGTGCTGGGTTTGGAAGCATGGTGCTATCACCACGCTAAGCAGAGCTCATTAACACCTGTCAGCCTGGAGCAGGCAGTGCAGTATATATGCCAACAGCAACACTCAGGTGAAACATGTGGTCATTGCAATAAAATGACCTGAGCCATGAGGGTGAGGATTGAGCCCAGTCTGCTGCTACACATCTGACTTGATTGTACACATGCACTGCTTTTACTTGGGTGCAGACCAGTGCTTAAGTTAGGCACAGAGGAGTGTCACAGCATAATAATTTTCAGCTAAAAGATGGTAGATTTAGACTAGATACAAGGAAGAAGCTTTTCACTGTGAGGGTGGTGAGGCACTGGAAGGGTTTGCACAGAGAAATTGTGGATGCCCCATTCCTGGAAATGTTCAAGGTTGGATGGGGCTTTGTCCAACATGATGTAGTAGTAGGTGTCCTTGCCCATGGCAGAGAAGTTGGTATTGATATTTAAGGTCCCTTCCAACCCAAACTATTCTGTGATTCTCCAAGAAGAGAACTGACCTTTGTAAGATTGTTTCTGTTCAGACACAGGCTGGTTGTCATGATAGAAATCTTATGTGTCCCACAGTGATATCTGAGCCAAGCTCACTGGTGAAGCAACACGTACCACCACTTTGTGCTGCAAAGCAGTTGCTCTTCTGGGGAGGACACCCATGATGGAGGACACTGGAAACCCCACTACTGGAGATTTGATTCACAGCCTCTAGGGGCATGCACTCAGGTCATCATCAGTACCCTTACATGGATCTGATTTAGCACATTATTTTAGATGACCAGTGGAACACATGACCTCATCCTCTGCTCACCATCTGCATTCAAGAGCTGGATGGAGACCCTCTTGTGGTCTGGCTTAAGATCAGTGGTGTTTCCTCCCTGGTGTGCTGGTTGTCTACTGACTCCTGTGCAAGGTTTGTGACCCCCAAATGAGAACTGGGAGGAAGGAGCTGCAAGGGGTTGCATCCAGAAATGCAGCCATTATGGTAGGATCAGCCTCTGGAACAAAAAAGCCACAGTGTGACTGAGTTCTCCGCTGGGAGTAGTGGGGATTTGTTATGATTACTAATGTAAGTGCCATAAAATGATGGGGCAAATGAGGGGGCAGTTTCTGTTTTCTATTCCCTTCTGTCTCCTTTTTCTTAAACATTTCGTGACAAGGCTGACAAGGCCACTTCTCCACCTCCTCACAAGGGAGCATGTTGTCATTTAAAAAGTACAAGTCCTTGGGAGCAAGAAAACAGTTTTTATTTAGTTGCTGCCTTTTGAAGCTGTTGTGTGTGCAGGATGAAGTGGCCAAACTTTGGGCAAGATCATTGTTCAGGATTTGATGCTACAGCATTACGGCATAAGGAAGGAAACCCCATCCCCTCTGCTTCTGTGAGGCCTGGGTGGTGTCCATGTGGCAGCGTTTCCCCAGAGTGTGAGGAGGCTGCTGTGTCCCTGTACCAGAGAGTGCTGATCCCAGCAGGGACGTCTGTGCTGCGCTGTGCTGCGATGTCGCGTCACACACTTCCCACTGGCTCCAGCGAGGTGAGCTCCCAGAACATGAAAAACACAGCGTGTGTCTGAGAGCCCAGGACATGCTGCTGGAACACCCACTGGGATGCTGGGGAGAGGATGCAAGAGGGGAATGACCTCCAGTGGCCATGCACCAGAGTATGGGCTAAAATCTTGTGTAATGTTTTTCACTGAATGCTTCTTGTACACAGGCTGTGGCACTGATGCTATAATAGTTAGCAGAGGGAGCCCTCACACTTCCTGCATTCTTGTCTCTGAATCCCCTTGGACCCATCAGTCATGTCTTGGTGACACCTGGCAGGCAGCCAAGCACTTCTCTCAGAGCAGTTCTGTTGTCTGCTTCTCCTGCTGACTCCAAGCCACTACAGAAACACAGGCACTGGAAACAGTTGGAGCCTGCTGTTTGACTCAAATATTATATTGAATTTGTAATAAGGCTGTTGTTTCTTCACACTTTTGGGGATGCCTTGTTAGTCTGGGAACTATCTAGCCACAACAACAATCCCCGCTCCAACTGCTTTTGGGACAACATGTTGCTCTTCATGAATGTTTTGGGGTAGAACTCTTTGTAGCTGGTAGGCACTGCAGTTCAGAGTTGTGCAGGACCTCCTTGGGTAAGTATCATGAAACCTGAGGCACAGGCAACTCTGTAAGCACAGAGTTGGATGCTCCTTTACAGCCTGGAAACAGTTGTTATGCTGGGTTGTATTACCATGACCTGGTTTATAAAAGCTGTTGGTATGTTTGTCTTCTCTACAAGCTAATGAGGCTCCTCAAGCATGGTAGAAGTGACTTTGCATGGGTTCTTAATACACTTAGGATGGCTTGCAATGTGTTAGAACATTTTGAAAGTGGACAGGGAGCTCTATCAAGTGCCTGTTGTTTGACCTTGCTAAAATGGCATCTTTAAATTACTTATTTCCAAAATAATGAATCCTGCTTGAATGTTTTTAATTTATTTGCTTTGTAGAAAGCTTGCAAATCTTACTAAACATTAGACAGTCTGATTAGGAAATTATTTAATGAAATAACACAATACATGAAACTGTCAGGAGACCTATGTTCCTAGCTGCCCTGTCAAATTGTGGATATGTTAACACGTAAGATAATTGTATTCCAATAGGAAGGGTTTGATTGCTGATTATTTTCCTTCTGGATAATGTAAAAATCAGGTCCTTATTGGGGGAAAAAACCCTGTCTGTGGTTTTCAACTGAAACCTGCCTAGTTTTGTCTTTCATAAGATTTAAGAAGGTGTTCTACTGAAGGAAGCAAAACCACTCTCACTCTTTCCATTTCTCATTTCTTTCTCACTTTCCATTCCCACTTGTTTACTACTTAAGCCCTACTCAATTTCTAATCACTTTACTCACTGCAGCATGAGCTCAGTGACTGAAAAGTACAATAATTTGGTTTTGATTGGCTTATATGTGCTATCAGAAAACCACCATCATATTGTTCTTAAACTAATAAATATTTTTATATTTCCTTGTTTTGTGATTTGCAGACTCAACTCTTGGGAGTTTTACTTGCTGCTGCTTCAAATTTTCTTATCAGTGTCTCTTTGAATATACAGGTATGTTATGGTTTCTCTTTATTCAGAGTTGTTTATATTTAGCAAGTACTTACATTGCAGTCTGGTTTTGATGAAGTTCAAAATGCTAATTTTGTTGCATTTAATAAACCTTCTCTTTCATTACCTGTAATCTAGCAGTGCCCTGCTGTAGTTGCTAGGAGCTGTGAGTTGTTGGGAGCTCTCAACCCGTTCTGTCCTGTGATTGTCATACAGGAATAGAAGAAATGTTCATAACTCCTCCTCCTTTTAATGTGCCAGAGAGAAATACCAGCTGTGAGTTACTTGTGGTCCCACTGAACCTGGGAGTAAGGAAGGATGTTATAAGAATCAGTATCAAAAGCTTTGCTGAAGTCCAAAAAGATTACATTACCTGGCTTTCCTAAGGGTGGGTTTTTCAGCTAGGTGGGTTACCCTGTTACAGAAGGAAATCAGGTTTGACAAGCAGACTCCAGATTCCCAGGACTGCTCAAAAGCAATTGAGAGAGCTTTTGCAATTATATCAGCTAGTACTTTGAGGGTTCTTGGATGAATCCCACCAGGCCCTGTAGATTTATAGGGATCCATCTGGAGCATCACAAGTTCAGAGTCAGCTGGGATTTGATCATTCTCATAGCCACGGTCCTCCAGCTCAGGGCACTGAGACCCCCTTGGTCCATCATCTGAAGACAGAGGCAAAGAATGCATTAAACACCTCTGCCTTGTCCATGTCCCTGTTTGTGAGGTGCCCATCCTCATCCTGTAACAGGCTGATGTTATTTCTATGCTGCCTTTTGCTATCATGTATCTGAAAAAAATACTTTTATTGTCCTCCACATTTCTGGCCGGCTTCAACTCCAGCTGATCTTTATCTGCATGAATGTTTTTCCTAGAGTGGCAAGCTGCATCTGTATTCTTATAGGTCACTTGACCTTGCTTCCACTGGTCACACACCTTCCTTTTCTTGCCTTAGACCCAAGAGAAGATCCCTGTTCAGCCAAGCCAGCCTTCTGCCTCGTCTGCTTGGCTTCTGACACTGGAGAATTGCTGCCCCTGTGCCCTTAGGAGGTGATGTTTAAAAAGTGACCAGCACTACAGAAACATTTCCAAGAGGACTTTTCTGACTAGTTCTCTGAGCAGCCTGAAGTCTGCTCTCCTCATGTCCAGAGCTGAGGTTTTCCTGCACTTTTCCTCCTGTCAACAAAGATTTTAAACTCAAACATTTTGTGGTCGCTGTGGCCAAGACGGCGCCAGTCACCATGTCACTCATGAGAGTTGACAAGCAGCAGATCAAGAAGGGCATCTTTCTGAATCAGCTTCCTGAGGACCTGTTCCATAAATGCATAAAGACATAAGGGTTTTTACAATATTGGACCCCAAAACAACTTCAGCCAGTTTAGTTTTTCTTTTGCAATTAAGATGAAATAACCTGAGTAGACACTATTTAAATCACAAAAGTAATGGGAGGTGTTGCCCTTACAACTGTGGTAAAGCATTGTAGGATGTCAATTATAAAATCCTTTCTGTTTTAATAATTAGGATACATACTTGGTAGAAGGTTAAATTTTTCATTATAATCGGTATCTTTTATACTTCATTGTATTTTTAGGTCTTCTAATTAAAGTTTTTAAAGCAGAGGAGACATTGTTGTGTAAATTGTCCAGAAGAAATATTTTTGCTAGTTAGTATTTTAGAAGTTGTACATGTCTCATATAAAGCTACTTTTTTGCTTTTTCTATAAAGGATTAAATAGGAAGTGGAATATGAAAGCTTCTGTTCAGTTTATTAAAGCTAGAAGGTTCTTCAGTGATTCCCTTCTATTTAAACATCATCAGCTGGAGAATCCCATAGAAAGAAACCAGTTTGGCAAGAGGTGGTAGGCAAGTTGAGATGACTGCTGCCTCTCCAACCTGGGTTCCAAGCTGTGGAGGGTGACAGTGCTAGGACAGGCTCTAGGAAAACCTCTGAAGTTGTAGTGGAAAGGTAAAGGTGAAGTAAAGAAAAGTGAAGGTGAAGTGGAAATTCAGTTTAGCCATAATAATGAGGTTGTTCAGATTTCATATATTTTGTCTGCTGAGGGTTCTGGGTGCCAAAGTAGATGATTTGCACGCGGATGTACAGAGGCATACAAGCAGACTTCTGTTAACTTGTAATCATAACAGCCCTTACTGAATTTGAACTATCAGCTTTTAAAATGCTGATTAGGAAAACTCAATGGCTCTCATTGCCATTTGACAGAAAATTTAAACTGGTTTTTTTTTTCCCCCATTAAATTAGGTTTCTCTTTATTTTGCAACAGTAACTTCTAAATATGAATATATGAATAATGATTTTCCCTAGATCTCAACATTTATTTTCACACTCCTATTAAGTGGACAGGCCAAATTTTTTTAGTCCTTTTTCTGACCATGTAGTCCATTTTCCTGATCCTCTTCCCACTAGCAGGTTGTCTTCTAAAGAACAGCTCATCATTTACAGTGTATTTCAGCCTCCACCTAGATAACATTTGCTCACGTTGCTGTGTAAAGAAGACAGACATCTGGAGAAAGAAGGCTGTAGGGGAGTTGCTGAGCTCACCTTCCTGTGTTTGCTGCACATCATTTCAATCTCTCTGTGCCCTCAAAAGTTAATCCTACAAGAATCTGGGATGAAAATACATCTCAGGATTCAGTTAAGAATTTGTCCTATTTAATTTTTGGCAGAAACTTGGATTCTTGAATAATAATTTGAATATTATATAATATTAATTTAACTTGTATCTTTATTGGGGTTTTTTCTGTTTATAAAAATGTAAATCCTGGATGTTACTGTGAAGAACATCCAGATCCGTGGCTCAGGTTTTATTTCCTTTTGCTCTTTTTCTTCTTGGAGGGCTAAACTTCTTCCTAGAATTTCTTCCCCTGAAAACATTCCACAGCAGGAAGCTGCAATAATGTGCTGCATCTTCTCAATAAGACCACTGTCTAAGACTGTAGGGTGTTACAGACTTAGATTACTGTTTGTCCCATGCTCTGTCAAGTAGCCTACAGAGAAGGATGGAAGTATGAGGAAAATCCTTTACAACCTCCCCAAGCTCTGCAGGGAGATTTCTAAAATCAAATATCAAGTGATGGAGAAAAAAGTTTCTTTTACTACAGTTTGTACTGTAACTGTGTCATTTGATTTCTACCTTTTTTGACCCACGTGCAGAAAGGCTGGAGAGTAATTTGAGAAAGGAAATGGTAATCTGCAGAATTAATTTGGTAAACATTGCATCATTCCCAGTTATGACACTTCCTTGATGGAGACTGCCTGGACTCTGTTTCAGAAGATCAGTGTGATCAAAGACAAATTGCCTTGCTATATGCATGTTCTTGCTGTACTGCCAGAGAAAAACAATTACAGCTTGTGCCAATGATACCTTCTTCATGTAACAGGAAGTGTTGATGAAGTATTACTTGAGTATATGTTATACCTGTGCCAACTGTTTTTTCTTTAGAAAATAATGCTTTATGATCTCCTGAGGTCGAACAGGAGATTGTGGCCAAATCATAAATTCTATTTAATTAATTTAGAGTGCTCCCTACAGAAGATGTGATTAAGTACTGCCTTTTTAATTTTGAAAGTGTATTTCTGGTGAAGATAGGTTTCACGGACAGGAATACCCTCTTGCCTGTTCCCCCGTCTCAGTTTGTTGCCACAGTTCTGATTCTGCCCCGTCTCCTTCCTTTGATTGTTTCCAGATTCAGAGCACGACTGCTGATTTTTGCTTTGAGGCAAGAACAGATCTGTGCAGTGATAGCTAGAAAGCACTAGCTAATATTCACTTTGCATTTTTCAGTTTTATTCAGAGACCTAATTTTTCACCCCTTTCCACCACAACTGAGAAAGCACATCTGAAGCAGCACTGAGTTAACAACAGGCTCAAAGTCATGTTTGAAAAGAAAACCTCGATGCACCTGGAATTTGAAGTTGACAGCCCCCTTAATTATTCCACTTTTGTCAGACATGAGAGCACAGTGGAAGCTTTTCTATTCATGCCTGTTTCTAATAATTAATTTTCTAGAAATGCGCTCATCTCCGACTGGTTTGCCAAGCAGAGCAGAAGCCCTACTACACGAGCAAGCTCTGGTGGTGTGGGATTACCCTCCTGGGGCTTGGAGAGCTGGGCAATTTCACAGCCTATGGATTCGCCCCCGTTACTCTTGTCGCTCCACTGGGATGTGTTTCTGTTATAGGTGAGACAATTTGCCATTTCTTGTTCGGGTATATGCTTCAATCAAATGCTTGCTTCTGGTTAGAGGACTTATACCACAGAAACTGCAGCAGGAACGCAAGAGGAAAATGTTAATGTCATGGTTTGAAAAGAAATTATTAATATAATTGCATTTGAAAAAAAAACTGTCTGCTTAAATCAAAGATTCTTCTAAAATATTTCTTTTTCCATGGTTTTGTCTTTTGCCTCACTCTGTGCTCTGCTAGCTCCTGCCCAGTGCTGTGACAGTATTGCCAGCTCTGCAAGCCCCCAAAGAGGGGGACTGGCGTCCTTCTGCATGCACAGAGCTGTGCTCTGATCCTGAGTACCAGCAGTGCATTTTCTGTGTTACCATCATCACACCAGGTGGTTCCTGCTGCCTGTTCCCTACCCGTCACCATGATTCTGATCCATATTGATATTGATCCATATTGATCCATATTGATATGGGCAAACTTGCTTGACACTCCACAGTGTGTGACACAAAGGGCCTAGAAATTTCCAGAAATGTTTAGTACATTTATGATCATTATTAAACATGTACAGATTAATTGGACCTTAGCTGAAGTGATATGATCTCACTCTTTACTTCATGTGGGGCTTTTGTTATTAAGGTGCTCGGGTACGAAATGCCTGTTTCTTTGACAAAGTAACACATTTAAAAATATATCTTCATGTTGTGCTAGTGTAAAGCAGGGTAGACAGGGCACTATTGTACAGGAGCTGTAAAAATGGGAATACAGGATGCAGCTGCATCCCTTAACCTGGTCACTTCACATCCACAGCTGAAACATCCAGAACTGAGAGATCTCAACAGTTCTGAATATGCTGGAGCTCATTTACTTGCGATTGGCAAGTGATAACATTTCTCCAGCTACCAGTTGCATGCTTGGAAGTGATGTTGCAGTGAATGCCTTTTCATGAGAAGGTATAAGAGATGAAATACCTTCCCAGTGGACTGCCTAGCTGCAGTGGAAGGAAGCAGCTAACAATACGTGGGTGCAATTTAGCGGAAAGAGAGGGGGAAGGAAACTGCAGGCAATTTACTGTAACCTTTAATGTTAAACTATTGCAGAATTTCAGATATAAAGCCATATTAGTTCATCATAGTAGGAAAGAGTTCTCAAAGAATGGAATGACATATTACCTGAGATGGAAATGTAAATAAATATTACATATCCCAGTGTGATTTTGGTGGCAGTAGTTATATCTGTAACAATTGTAGACATCATCAGGCATCTCTGAACATCAAAGAATATTGGCTAATCTCATTTGTTGTCCAACCTGAATAAAATGCAAATACAGAAAATTAGAAAGGAAAAGGAAAAAGCAGTGAGTAGAAAGAAAAATCCCAATATTTATTGAATGGAAAAAGATGAGATCACATTTAGGGCTGATTTTTTTCCGAGCAGATTCCTTATTTGCTTTTGCAAAATGTGAGGAAATGTTGCATCTGATGATTCCTTCATTCTCCCCTTACTTACAATAAATACCAAGACACCATCTTCTGAACTGTTATTTCTTACCAAAATTCTCATCCACTGTTATTTTTTTTAAACTGACCCAGAATGCTTATTCTGGATGATCCCAGAAAGCACTTTAATATCTTATATTTCATTCCTATAAATCAGCTGACAGTATCCATTTTATAGCCCAAACAATAGAAATATCTGAAATTTTATTTTGTCTAGCAAACATTCCCTTAAGGAAGAGCAAGTAAAAATTGTGTAGACAGCCAATTACAGCAATAACTTCTCAGTAACACTTCCTACTACAAGATGCTTTCCTGTCTTCAAATATTAAAGCCAGAGAGAGATCATCCTTCTAATTTTAAAGTTCATCATTTAGAGCAATGACAAACTGCCCAAGTCACATGTGCATCATCTGCTAACAACTGGGTAACAAAGGGTACTGCCTAACAAAGGGTAGTTAGGCAGCAAGTCTTCCAATTTAAAAGATGAAGAAATATTTTTCTCATTAAGTTGTGACCTTTTTTAAGTGGTGGAGGGTGGCCTTTGCAGAGTAGCTGACAGGTCTTTTTGAGGTATTGCTGAATGTGCGTCTTTAATAAGTTAATTTTTTTAATGAACAAATTAAGTACTTGATAACAAACTCCAAATGCATACCTCAACCTTAAGTCCAACTTTCTGAGAAGCATTTTGTTCCCAAATTCAGTGTCAGCATGTCCCATACGGTAAGGGCTGACTCTCCCTGACATTGTAAATGCAGTACATATGGTGTACTGAGGAGAAATGTGCATTGCAGTGTGTCCAGTCATCGAGGACATTCTCTGCAGGTCTCTGTGACTGGAGAAAAAAGGAGAGGGAAAGTTTCCTTTGCTTGGAAACCAGGGTTTGGAAGAGGATAAAGCAGACTGGAGTCTGCCCAGAATGGATTTGGGCTGTACCCATCATATATCTCCAGACTTCTGAGACGGGAAGCATCTTAAAATAGATGGAGCCAACATCTATTATGCTCTGCTACCACATTTAACTACATCCAACTGAATTTTGCACTTAAGCCGGTATCAATTAAATAGTGAAAAGTTTGTGCCTCTTTCTATTGAGCTGGATTGTTCCAGTGTCTTGTTTTAAAAAGAATGAAGCACCAAAGATCATGAGTTGGCATGACACCAAGATGTTTGTTAATGTTTGTTTTTTTAGAATTAAGATAGAAAAATTATATTTTTCTTCTTACACAGTGGAAGTATTTCCGCGTGTGGTTGCAATGATGCAAGCTCTACATCTGTTCAGGGTTTTAAATAGTTTGAGAAGACAGCAGTTGTTTTCTCCAAGAGGAGAAATTAGTAAATTTTTAATTTAAAAGTGGAGGAGTAATACATGTTTGATGTGATCATTAAGAAACTTTCTATACTTAAAAGTAAAATTCATGTTTTACACGTAGCTTGGGTAATTTCAGGTTGCAGTGGCTTTTAGCTCATCTTGTTCTTGCCTGCAGAAATGACTTGGGGATGGAAAAGGTGAGGAGAGGCCAGTGGCTTTGGAGATGTCTTCTTCTGCAGTGTTTATCATTCTATGGGGGGTTGTTTTACACTTACTTACCTCGCTTACACTTACTTGCTTCACTCAGCCTGACACTGTTAAGATCCCTTTGCATTTTTATATACTCCTTGTAAGCAGCAGTGGGGGGCTTTAGGCTTTGAAAAGTTATATTCCTGATGTACTTTAGGAAGATTCTCAGGTAGTCTTGTAGAAATGGATTTCTCCCACTCACTGAAATGTAACACCTTTGTGGCCCAAGAACTTGGAATTCTGAGGACCCTGTTACTAATGATGTCTAGGAAACATTTACCAAACTATTCTTTAAAATACTTTGATTTGTACATGTCTAGAAGATGCAACAAAAGGATTTTCAGGTTTTTTCCTTTTCTCTGCAGTGTGTATGTCCTATACTCTGGGTTCCAGAATTAATCTCACCTTAATGGTCTCTCTTTTGAGCAGTTGCTCAGATGGAGAAAAATGGGTCATATTTTGTTTACCACTTTTCCAGTACTAATCTCTGATCATGTTAGAAATGTTACAGGTTCATTGTGCAGGACAGCTGTCTAGAGGTGTCTGTAATGCCTTTATTTGTATTCAGTGGAGCATTAATATCCATCATATAAACTAAGAACAGGCTTTAGAAGCCAATTAGATATAATGAACTTGTTCCCAGGTATCATTTGACCTGCAGCAATTAAATGCACTACATAACTCATCATCTCTCCAGATTTTCCTGACTCTGTGGCGGACAGCTTTTGTCTGGGGATGGATTAAAATAACTTCAAGTTTTTCGGTACTGGGAGGGTTCTGAATCACTTCAGCTTGGGAGATAGGCTGAGGGTCTGTTCATATAAAGCATACTTTGAGGTCACATCTTGGAATGTAACTGGCAGCAACTGCATCCTTGTAACTTGAGCACTGCCCAGTTGCTTTAGGGCAAAATCAACGGGGTGAAGTTAAGCTGCTTGATTAGATGGAAGCACACCCTTAAGTTGCATAAAACAGAGTAAATGTTTGGTCTCAAAGTGAACTATTGTTGCACAAACTGAGAGAGGTGCAATAGTCTTTGAATCGTATCTAGTTCTCCTCCCTTGGTATTTCAGCCAGACCACAAGTGAAGTGTTCTTCTGGGTGGGCGAGTTTAAATGCCTTTATCTGAGTCTGCTAAGAAAATGAACATTTAAAACATGTATAAAATTTTGTGGGTTTTGTTTTGGGTTTTTTTTAAAAACTGTTGGAGAAGACAGAAGTAGTGCAAACAGTCTATGCATTTATGAGGAGAGCAGTAATCTTTTTAGATAATACATAAAGCTCATCTAGGAATCAAAAAGAGGAAAAGAAAGGATGTACAAATATTTGAAGTTATGAACAATTGTTACAAAAAATATTTTGTGTAAGATTAGACAGTAAAAATAGGAGGTAAAAGATCATTTTCATAAATAACTTGAGTATCAGGCAAACAGCTTAATAGTGAAATATAGTGAAATAGTTTTGAATAGGAAAAATGAATCTTGCACACTCACTTGATTTTTTTGTGGCTGGATTGGACAAAATACAGAGAATACATACTACGAATCAGTATGTATTTTCTATCTTTTACTTCTTCTGTTGTGCATTATCCCTTTCTTAAAGGAACAAACAAAACCCAATCCCAACTGCAGCTTTCATGTCTAGGAAGCAGAGGAGTTATTTTGTGAGCTGGATTCTCACCATTCATTGTCTGCTAGTGGCAGAACCTACACATCACACTGCTTTTTATTTCTATTTGTGCTGGAGAAAGCCTACATATGGAGATAATTGTAAACGACCACTCTCCTAAGAGAATGAGCAGCTGACTGAGCTATGTGTAGCACCATTACAGCCCTTCCTCAAGTCACTTAATTGCATATAATGAAAAAACTCAACATGTTTTATCATTTTTTCAATTTATGTTGAAATTCACATGCTGCAACGAATACACATTCATTCAATAATGTGAATATATGATCATTCAATATATAATTAATATATTCATTCAATAATGAATGTAAACCAGCCTGCTTTATGCTGATGTATGAAAATATGAAGATTTTTAGATAACAATTAAGCTCATGAACAAACCCTTTTACCCCATTTCCTACCCAACAGTTTTCATTTATCATGATTTTGATGTAGTGTCAAATCATATTTAACATTTGAATTTCATGAACATTAAGAAAGGCTCTGTCATATATATAGAAGCATTTTACAGGACCTATTTACTTCTCAAATTATGGATATTAATATGAGCATGCAATCAAGGCATGAAACAAACTCAAGGATTACATTAGGATGTGTTGGTTCTGTAATGTTTAATCTTTAACAGATTATCTCACAGATTTTCTGCCCTTCTCTTCATCTAGCAGACTACCATTGTCACTGGGAATGGGAGTTGTATCTCTGCCTACTTTTGAAAGTTTTACCTTAATAATTAGTGAAAAAGCTAAGAATTATTCTGAGTTCCCCAAAAGTACACAAGTTTTCTCAAATGACCAGGGATGCAGTCATTGCCTAGGTGACTTGAAGGCTGATAATCCAGACCTGTGGTTGTCCATGTGCTTATTCCCAAAGCCTGTGGTTCAAAACCAGTGAGGCTTCAGAGCAATGATAAATTGCTTTTGTTACTGAGCTACTGCCAGCTTGCTCTTTGACACAATTTTTTGTCTGTGTTTCTGTATTGTTGTATTCTATTGCTAACCAATTTTTTAAAAAATGGCAAGAAGAAAACTATTCCTCACTCTGACACAGATCTCAATCTCTTTAACTGTCTATGGTTGTTTTTTACAAAAAAGAAAGCAAACAAAAACCCATTGCAAAGATACGTTCGTACTTTTCAGCACAACAATTGCCCAAGTTCCTCAGTCTATTCACTCACAGACTTAAACATAATGTTCAGTAATTTATTTCTCACATCAGTATAATCGTGGAGGAGGAGGAAGTTTCTGTGGAGGGAGAACAAGAGAACTCAAATGGGAAAGTAAAAATTGGGGCTGAGTGATAGGGAATTAAACTTACTCAGTGGTGATGGGGTGAAATCAAGGGGAAGTTGGCTCAGAGGAAAGTACGGGGGTATAACATCACTGGTAGAGAGGAGGAGAGGTGGGAAGACGTGAGACACCCCACCTGTGATCCGAGGGAGGGTGGGAAAGGAGAGGGGAGTTGGGGAGTTTCAGCAGGTCTGCATTTAAGAACTGAATTTGGGGTACAGTAAGGGCTTATATTCATGTACCTGGTGGGACTAGTTATTAGCCTCTGGATGCCCACTTAGTCTCTTGCAAAGAGTTCACAAGTCCTAGGGTAATTCAGGTTAGAAGGAACCTCAGAAAGTGCCTAACCCAACCTCCTGCTCAAAGCAGGATCAGCTTGGAGGCCATCCAGCAGAGAGGAGAGCAGAGACTGTGTGTTGGCCTTTTAGCAGATTGTCTTAAACTGTGTTTTCAGGAGGAATTAATGTCTAAAGCAACTGAGTGCACCTGAGGTTGTAAGTGGGAGCACAAAGGAGCTAAGGAAGAGGAGCAGAGCAGTTGGGAGGGCTGTGGATTTCTCACTGGGCTCCTGGGGAGCACTTTGGCATCTGTCATTTGTCTTGCCAGCCAGAAAAGGCTGCAAAACCAGCAGAAGGCAAAACTGCAAACACCAGCCTGCGTTCCCAGCTCCTTTCATACCCCCTGACCCATCTGCAACAAGACAATCAGCTCTTGGTTTCTTTATTTTAATCTGATCCAAGCCTACCTCAAAAACTGAAGAATATGGAAGACTATACCAAAGTCAAGCCTGGGAGTTTAAACCCCAGAAAACTAACAAAAGTAAAATTAAAATATCATGGTCTCTTGGCTATGCTACCATAACTCTCTTTAAATTTATTCCTGGAGGTAACAGCCAGAGTTTGCAAGGCTTCTGATCAGTAATGTAAAGTAAATCAGGTCTGTGTAACTGTTCTCTGGTTTTTCTCTTAGATTTACCCCATTTCCTTTTCTTCCTCACTTGAATGCAGCTGGAGCATTGGCAGCTTACCCACAGGGGCAGTTGTCTCTTGTGTTCAGAGTATTTCCTGGGTCTCATTCTCCTCACCTTGGTGTTGTACCTCCCCTCCTACTTCAGATTTTCCTCCTCTCCTATTTTTAGATTCCTTTACATATTACTCTACATCATAAAGAGTATTAATTATACACAGATTCTGTTAAGCTCTTGATCTCTGGTGCAATACCAGCTATCTCTGGAGACAGAGCTTGCTGCATTTGAATACATTATTAAAGCAGAGTGACAAGTTTCATTACCTGGCTGAATTCCAGCACCTCCTTGTGCCCACTGCCAACCTCAGAGGTTGTGATTCCCCTAAGCTGACACTTGATCATAACTCACCCCAAATTGGATGCCAACAGTGCATTTTGCAAATTGCATTTACTAGACCTCTGCTGAATGCAGTGAGCTCAGACATGGAGTACTCAAAACAAAGAAACAAACAAATAAACAAGGAAAAAAACCAGGAAAAAAATCACTGAGGTATCAGTCCTTTAACCAGCAGCTCTGCTGTGACAGAGACTGTCTAGGTGAGTGGGTTGGGGTGGGATTTGTGAAAGCTGTGAGAGCAGGGAGACAGAGCAGTAATTAATTCCTGAATTCCTACACTATCTTGGATGCTGCTGCTTCTTTCCTGGCTTTTGTCCCTTCTTTTTTTTTTTTTTTTTTTTTTTTTTTTTTAAATTTAGGTAGCTCTGCTATTACCAGTGTTGCCTGGATACCTTCAGTGTCTTCACTCCAGCAAAGTCGTCACTGAAAAATTGAATAAAGAAAACCATATCAGGCAGCCTAATTTCAATGAGGCATTTTCAGTTGAAGATTCTTTTATTGCACTTACTCCTTTGCACAGATACCCATCACTCTTGCTACAGTTTAATTTTATGACTTCTGCTGTATCTGATTTTCTACTGGCTGGAAAACAGAGGCCTGATGCTGAATTCCAGTTCTCTGCTTACCTCTTGGTATGAACCTCTCTAGATTTTTGTAGAGTATATCTACTAGCTAACCATGAATTAATTTTTCCATGAGAACAATAGAGATAAAGAGGCAAAGATAGTTTTAAAAATGTTGAACTATTATTTCAAAAATAAACCATGCTGTGGATGAGTAGAGATCTCTTGTAGCAACATCCCATGACTGTTTCAGTGTGTCCCTTTGCTGTCCTTCCTAAGCAGTCTTTCTTCGAGGTTTCTGAATGAATCTAACATTACTGATGCAGCTCTCACAGAGGACTTTCCTCATCTCTTTTATGGAAGAGCTGTCCTGCCTCTTCTTCTTTTTAGATGTGGATGTTGTGTGCTGGAATAGAGCCATGCCTCCCAGTCTCATCCATCCTTCAAAGCCCTTCTTTCCCCTCTAGCACATGTCCACACTGAGTTCCTAGCCACAAAACCTGCCCCAACCACTACTGCTGCTCATCTCCCCACTGCTGCCCATCCTGAAGAGGCAGGAGCAGGAGCTGGCAGAGGTCAGATGCAAGAGCTGAACAAGAGAAATGTGTTTCCCAGGAAACAGGAAATAATTTCTAGGACTCACTTCCAGTTTTCTCCTTCCTCAGAGCAAGTAACCCTGAAAGACAAAGACCATGGACAGTGCTCCTGTACAGCACGTGTGGGGTTTCCTCCCTGTTCATCTGCAGATGTCATGAGCATCTAGCTCATACTAAGTACTGTGTTTTTACAGTGACTCTCTTCTTCTCAGTTGTACTGCTGTTGCTCTGCTTATAAACCCCTAACACATTGAAGACTAAAGAAGCAGAATTTTATTGTTCTATGATGCAATTTGCCTTGAGCAAGTCGGTACAGTGACTTGGTAGCAAAATGGGGAGTGAAACAGTAAGGTTGATCAGTGCCCAGTTTTCCTGACATTTCCACATATGACTGAATCAGAGCAGTTTAAGCAGTGTCCCTGTGTGGGAAATAAGAAGGCTATTGCATCTTTTCAACCACGTAAAAACCTGCTGGATACGTCTGAGATCTTACAGAAACCAAGTGTTGGTGGGTTGCAGGAATGGACTGCTGGCTGTTTATATCACGGTATGGTGCAACAACAACACCCATTAGGTATATTTAAACTTGTCCCAGGGCAGGTTTTTGCTGTAGCACTTGATATTCTAACAAATGCGTGTATATATATATAAAGGTCTTTATATTTCTGTTCTAGGTAGTGCATTTATTTCTGTCTTTTTCCTAAAGAAGACCATGAGGACTGCTGATATATTGGGTAAGTAAGCATTTGCTAATTTAGACATGTGTGCTGCCATATGCTTAGCAAGCTGTAACTCTCACGCAGCCCCCCACCTTCACACTCCCACTTTCCCAAGCAAGTGTTTCAAGGCAGATACTTTCAAAATTGGGAAAAAGTGATAAAAAGAGAGAGAATCTTCAATGCATGAAGAAAAGACTGTATTCCCAAGTCCTCTACTCTTACAACCATAACTTATTCCTTATGTGTCCTTATTGCTCAAATTTATTTTCGTTTTCTATTTTTGCCTCTGAGGTTGTCTTTAGTATTATCTTTATGAGTACAACACAGAATTAATAAAAACAGGGAAGTTATTGAGTTACTTATTCAAATAAAAGATTTTTTTTCTTACTGCATAGATATTGCACAAAAACTCAAGCTCAATTTAAAGTGATAATTTCCCTTTGGTTTTAGTTTTATCACCTCAAAAACAAATAATCATATTGTCAAGTGTTCAGTTGGGAAATGTGGTCTTCACTGTAAAAGCCTGTCAACTTTTTGTCTGTGTACAAGATTTTTTTGCATACCAAAGCTGCCTACCTCTAATGCAGTAATAGTGAGAGAAAAGCACATTTCAGGGTTTGGGCTTTACACCAAGCCATCTCACCTGAGACAGTGCACCTGATGGAGGGCACCCGATATTTCTGTGGGCTCCGAACATCTAGGCTTGATTGTCCAAACTGTAGTGAGGACAGCTAGCTGTTCTCACAAATGTGTTGGAGAGATCTGTTCAGTATCATTCCAGGAATACTATATACGATTTATTTAGGTTTGGAATCCAAGTTTGCCAGCTCAGCTGCTAAATTCAAAACCCCCCTCCCTTCACTGATCATGTTTCCCTTATGGCCTTATACACTGTGTGTTGCTGTATCTAGTGTTCAGCTGATTTATTTTATTTCTGTGAGTTTGACTTTGCAAGATGGATTTAACAATGTTGCTGCATTCCATAAGAATGAGCTGTATGATGGGAAATATGGTGATGGTTTTGCAAGCACATAAATATAACACAGTTCTGCTTTTCCAAGGGAACTGTTTGAGATAGCAGTGCCAACAAAGCCCTCCGGATGTGCTTTGTTTTGAGCCTTGCATTCCGCACCGATTTATAGGTTTACCAAGAATTTTAAAGATTACTTGAAGAAAAATTGATTAGCTAATGTCTTCCTTAATCCAGCACAGTTTATGATCTTAGGACCATCTCACTTCTGTCTTCAATGAACATCTGTGTTTGTCACAGGCAGATGTCCACAAGGCAGAACTTGGAGATTTTTATTAAAAGCATAATAATGCAAGTTTGACCTTGAAAAAGAGCCCTGGCAACCTAGTGGCTGAAGAGTCTATTGCAAATCATCCTTTTATAGAGCAGTTCATAGATCTGCAAGTACAGCAGGGAGCAGCCAGAATGCTGGCCCTATGACAGCTTCAGTCGAGCATTGGACTGACACGTGTGTCTTGCATCTGATGCTTCCAGGGCAGGTTGATTGTTGGTGCAGATCTCTGTGGCCACAAATGACTGTGGGACATTTGTGTTTATTTACAGTGCTTAATGATCTAACTGACTGCTCTAGTAGGAAACTTGTCCTTTCAGTTCAGGCTAAGTTTGTGTGATGTACTTTGTGCCTGGGAGAAATACAAAGGATTAATTCTCCTTTGTCATACACTTGGGTTTAGAATTGACAGTACTTTAAAATGCATTATTTAGTTGGAATCCAAATCCACATGACTTTACTGACAACTTTTTTTTTCACATTTCTAAAATTCTTTGAGTCTTTAATAAAAATTAGATAAGAGCACAAATGCAAGGCAATACAATTGCCTAAGTATAGATCTGTTTAAATGGACTTAAATTTTCTTCTAGAAACTATTTCTGAATTAGCTGGAGGTCAAGTATGATTGTGGTTACCAAATACTGTATTGCCAAAATAACATATCCTTTTCTTTAAAGGAGGAGCACTGACAATAACAGGGACATACTTGTTGGTGACATTCGCTCCAATCGTACCTCAAGAGCTCACAGCAAGACAAGTGCAGAATTACTTAGTGAGCTGGCCTTTTTTGGCATATTCAGTGAGTATCTGGTTCACACTACTCCCTTAATTAGAAAAAATGGGGTTACTTTTAATTAGAAAAAATGGGCTTTTTTACAGCATTATGAATTAGTGGTATAAAAACTGCTCCTGGAGATAAATTGTATGATTTTCATAGGAGAGAAAGTTCCTTATCATCCTATTGAATCCAAATTGAAAATATGCTGCAACAAAATATATATTTTTTGACTATATGTCAGGGGAAAGTCATAATTGAGCAGGATTAACAAGAGTGGAAAGATTTTGATATTTGGGGAACTTGAGGAAAAACCTAAATATTGGTACTGTATAAATTTCCCATATATGTGTTCATGCCACCCTGTCTGCCTGTACATCTAAGTTTCAGGGCTTTTGTGGAATGTGATGGAATTGTGCTTTTAAAAATCAGGCTATGTATGTTCTTGGTCCTGCTTTTTGTCTTTCATATCACTCTGTTTTAGTCACACGTTGTTAAGCCTGGCTGAAAGGAGCTCCGTGTGGAGCTGAGATGTGAAGGGGTGGCCTACTTCACTGCCACTTATGCTAATCTGAACCTGAGATAGAATTCAAACACAAAAAGTACCATTTTGATTAAAGTATCTGTATACAAACTTCAAACACCATCCATCTCCTTTGATGTGTTTAATTAACATCAGGAACAAGACCAGAGTGAGTAGGGTGAACTTCTGTCCCTCTTTTCCTCTGGAAAGCTGAAAGTGTTTTCCTCTAGTTGAATGTAAAAGATGCAGTATAGGAGCTTCAGAAGCAGTTACTTTTTCCCAGTAAAGGGACTCATTCAAGTTAAATTCTTAGTGCCCAGTCTTTTCTTAGTAGGAATTTCAGTTAGAAAGACACTGAGTAGACAGTTCAAGGATCGTAATCTTTTAGCCAACCTGCAGACTTTACATGTATCTAACTATCCATGAACTACTGATTAAACACAAATTACATACTACCACAAAAAATGTTGATCCTCTCTTTCAATTTGTTGAGCATTTTAAACTGTCTTTCAATTTTTTCTGCCCCTTAAAAGATCCTGAAAGATGCTGACACAGCTCAGTAGAAAAAATTAATATTCATGCTGCATAATTCACAACATGTACTTTCAATCAAGCAGTAGAGAGGCTTTTGAAGGCAATACCCAAGAGTTTTGGGGTACCCAGTAAGGGCTGCTTCAGCATCTACAAGAGCTTCAAGAAGCCCATGCAATCAGCAGAGTAAGAGGAGGGAGTTCAAAATAGGGATATTGATGCTCTTTCTTTTCTACTGAATATCACCCTCTACCATGCAGTTCCACTTAGAGATGATGAAGTAGCCTGACATTTTAGGCACTGATTTTAAATTGTTGATTCACCCATTTGTGTAGAAATGGTAGAGAGAGAAAACTCCCTATCCACACCCACCAGGAATTTCTGTGTGGTATGCCAGTCACATTTTCTTGAAAACAACAGGTTCCTGGAGAAGGGCTTTTCCACACCTGAGGACTTTTTTTACTTAATTGCAGGAAAAGTTTTCAAGAATAAAATTGAAAGCATAGGAAGACTGCTGTATTCTTCTTAGGAGACATTTTGAGGAGGTACTAGTTAACTTCTGAACTTTTTATCTCCTCTTATCTCTTTCCCTACCTCAGCCAGCACCTAATTCTACATGTATAGCATAGGTAGTAGGGAAGGATGGAGCAAATACACATAAAATCTTGATTCAACAATATATCAGATTTTATGTGTTCCTTCTGTTCCGTGGGTTCATCTGTGCTGAGCTTCCTCTGACCAAAGAAAGGGGACGAATGAAAGGCTCCACAAGACTCAGATATCAGCCTCATTACCCTGGTATGCTGCTGGGAGATCAAGAAAACCCTGCTGTAAACATTCTTTTTGGGCAGGGGACAAGCTCTGCAAAACTGGTTGTAAAGTGCCAACACAGGTTGGCTGTTGAGATATAAAGAAGTGCAGAAGAAGCTGCAGAATTTCCAGTGTAAATATACAATGAGGAGACAGTACAGACATACAATGCAGTCCAATGATCTTTCTAAAAGTAGCCCCAAAGTGTGGTCTGCTGAGAAATACAAAGCTCCAATGATATGAAATGTTCTTTGTGGGTGGTAAACCAGTGGCACTCCACTGATATATTCTGCAGAAGTAGCCTCTAATTCCCACAAGACAACTTTGAGTCACCTTCTGAGACTCTGCAGTAACATAATTATGTCTGAGCAAGAATGACTCTCCTAGCTTGTTTTTTTCTCTTTTGCTTATGTGCACTTTGAGTCTCGACAGAAGACATAAATCATAGATGCAGCTCTTAGGTTTCCCTAAACAGAAGCCTAGTAAGAATTGGGTTGTTAATATTTAATCTCTGCAAAATCAGGTTCAAAACATTTCTGCTTTTCTTTCAAAGTGTCTAGAAGACCATCCTGTATATGCCAGAAAGGCATTTGAGGCAGACAATATGGTATTTTGTTTTGGTGCCTTCTGGTAATGCTTAGAAACATGGAAAACATGATTATTAAAAAATGTTGATGAGATGTAGGCTTGAGGAGACTTCAGTAGAGATTAGTTGTCATAGCAAAGATTATTGTAAGCTGGTGAAGTTCTTTCATTTCCTCTAAACAGTGTATGTGAAGCTGCTATAATCTATGACCTCCATTCCTGGACTTCATATTTATCACTACCACAGCTGTCAGTGATGAGGCTAAGGACTGTTTTGGGTAGCTCTCAGAAGACAATTTTAGGCAGTAGCTGGGGTACCCCAGCTGTGTGAGGCCCTGTTAGGAGCCATGGACTCTGCTTGCAGGGTAACTTAATTGTCACAGACCCTCCCTTGTCTTCTTATTAAAGATGACCCGTATGTGGGGCACGGAGTGGTGGAGAACCATGGAAGAACAGTTAGGCTCCTGAGCAGCACTGACAGCTAATTGGATTTCCAGCTTAGTATGTGAGACTTGACAGAGCTGATTAAACTTAAACAGCAGCCCTGGAAAGCAAGCATTGTTTATCTCCCTGGGTTTGGCCACAGGACTACCATCTCTGGCCCTACACCATGGCTGCTCTTGGGGTTTCCTCAGGGTGTAGAGATGACCAGGCACACAGACCTGTGCACCCCATCCAGAGCTGCCATCGGCGGCTCCAGTGTCCTTTGGTCATTTTGCTTGGCTGTTTCCTTTCAGACGTGTCTTCTTGGTGGGCTGGTTTGCTTTTAAGCAGGAGGAGATCACAGAGGAGCTTTATTGTAGCTTTAGCAATAGAAGAGATGATGAAATAATGAGAACCAACAGAAGGCTGATGGACAGAGCCAGCTCTGATGACCTGGTTCAGTCAAAACTGGTGCTGCTTGGCACTTCCTGCCACTCAGGGGGTTGGACTGAGGTAGAAGAGGGTGAATGACAGCTGCTGTGATGGAACAGTTTGAGCCAGTGACTGTCCCTTGGCTTGGTTTTGGATGATTGTTTTTGCATAGTTTGAGATCTCAGTGACAGGACAGGTGATGGTGCTTCCCCCACTGTGATTGTCTAGAGGGTGTAAAATAAATCAATAGAAGTGTGGCTGCTTGCAGTAGGGGTGTCTCATGGGTTTCTGCACCTCTGTGGTAACCACACCATGGGTCTGGGAAGGATGACTGGTGCTCAGGTTTGCACTGGTCAGGGAAGCAGAGTTCACAGTGCTACATTACCTGGTGCCATGGCCCAGACCCAGTCACCATCCTGTGTGCCAGTCCTGAACTGGTGTGTCATGGAAGATGATACCTAGGACATCCTTTCTTAATGTGGCTACCTTTCTGAGTGGGGAATATTTATTTAGCACAGATTTTTTTCTGTTCTGTTACCAGTTGTTCCCTGTCAGAATAGCAAATGAAGCTACCTGGTGGCTGTCGTAGCTGCAGCCTGATAATGTGATATTCCCCTCTGACCCTAAGACGTGTTTGGCAGTGGCACAAAAAGCAAAGCTGCCACCTTTACTTCTCCTCTCAAGTCCCCTCAAAGCCCTGTCATACTTTTCAGCAGGGAGGCCAAGATGAACTCACCTGTCTGAAGATCTTGACATTTATTGTGCCTTGCCTGATTTAGATTTACCCAGTGTTGCAGTGTTGAATAAAGCTGAAGAGGCTGGCCAAGTTACTAACTGTGAGACTGAGGCAAAAGCCTCTTTTCCCCCAGCTGGTGGCCAAGTTTGCATCTCTGGGTGTAAGCCTGGTGGGGAGGGACATCAATCTGGAGGAAGATGAGACCAGCGTTTCACAAGAGATTGAGAAGATTATTCAATGAGGATTAGCCTGGTAATCCAGGAATGGTTTTTTTTATTCAACACATTTGAAAAACAAACAAACAAGCAAACTCCAACTGAACATCTCTTCCCCCTCAGTTTTGTTGTTTAGGTTTTTTTAATCTTGTGATAAATATTTCACATTTTTTTAAGGAAAGGGGGTATAAAATCCAAATTTGTGTTCTTAATGTTTTGAAACACAATTGTCTTTTGGTTGTCTTTGGGAGCAAGGGATCTATGTGAAGGTAAATAAAAATGGAATTAAAGTATAATTATGTTTTGTTAATATATTTAAACATTACTGAATTGGGGAGGGTATAATTGTGGCAGAGACTGGGCAGAGCTGACAGCTTTCCTGCTACAGTCACTCTCCAAAATGAGAAACGGGCCACTTGCATTATATAACCATTGCTAGTAACTGTTCAGTCACCTCTTTGAAAATTTCATCACCACAACACCCAGGTGCTTTTGAGTCTAGTGCTGCCTTATGGTGGCTCTTGGTTAAAGAGTGAAGTGGCATAAAACATAAAATAGTATGCTGGTGACAAAATCAAGGAGATTAACAGGTTTTTCTATGATTTGCTTTGTTGGCAAAAGTAACAATAATGAGATTCATTAATGATGACAATCTCATTTTCTATCTTATTTCCATATTAGATTATTTTCTGACATGAACAAATGAACTTCTCTATCTTCATGCTGTCTCTGAGGCTTCTGAGCACCCCTTAGTGCAGAGGTGCAGCACTCCTGCTTTCATAAGTCTTCCAGGCTTCACAGAGGCTTTATGGCCCTTGCACTTGCTGTTTTCTTTAGGCACAGAGGGATATTTGGGCAACCTCTTTGGGTTAGGTAGGAGGCAGAATACCCATACTTTTGAGAGTTACTGAAGGAATCTGCAGAGACATAAAAACAGGAGGTCAGCAAATTGAACTGTCATTTAGCTGTCACATGTTACTGAAGGAGCAAAACTGGACCATGCATGGTGCAGGTGGAGCTGCTTCAGCATCTCAACATGTCCAATAGTGTGGTCTGCTAGTGTGTCATTGAACTTCTCAAGGTAAGGTCCTGGCAGGTACCTGTGATTTGAGAACTACCATATGAAATAAATGTTTTCCTCCTTATGATGCATGGCAGAAAATTTGGACAAAGTTTTGAGTGGAGATTTTAGTTTTGAGGGAAGAAGGGCAAAGAGGGTAGCAAAAATAAGCTTGCACATAACAAAGAGTGAGTGACATTAGGAATACAATAGCTAAAATGAGAGATTGCTCTTTCTTAAGCTAAGTGCTTTACTCTATACGAATTATAGACTGAGTTTTTGTAAGTATTATTGTTGATTAATATTGGTACCTTTGCTGTCACACTAAAAAAAGTCTTCTCAACATTACCAGTAACAAAATATAGATAGAAGCGCAAAATGAAAAAGTGAAGATATAAAAAATGCTCAAAGTTTAGCTTTTGCTATAACAGGAAAGATAAATGACAACTGTTGTTTGATAGCTCAGTCAACTGTCAATAGTTACTTTTTAACAGAAGTTATTTCATAAAGACATTCTTTGATTTGAACAGATAGAGCAGCAAAAATGAATGTGACATCTCAAAGACTTTGAATGAAGCATTTATTACATAGTTTCACAGCTCTAACTTTCTTTTCTTTTATTTTCAGATTTTAGAAATTATAATATTCTGCATCCTCCTCTATTTTTACAAAAGAAAGGCTGTGAAACACATCGTGGTTTTGTTAATGATGGCAGCTCTACTGGGTAAGAACATATTATTCACTTTAATGTTCCTGTCTATTACTTGATAATTCACTCCATCTCTCCAGACAGTTTAGATTAGAGCTATTTCAAAGCAGTGTGCTAAAGAAGAATCATTGAAACATTTCACATGATTTTTACTGGGGTGTCTTTCTTAAGAGAAAAGCTGATTATTAAACACAGTTTCTATGCTTATTGCTGGGACTATTTCGTATTACAGATACCCTCAAATTAATATGCTATGTGCAATGGTATTCTGAAACTTGTTTTAAATAACACTTTAGGTTTAGATCCTGGGAAAGTGAACTATTCAAAACTTTGTTTTGGAGATCAGGCTGTGAAAATCAGTTCTCTAGAGCAGAACGGCTGAAGACCTTGTAAGCGCTCTCTAAACAAATGCAGTGATATGCTGTGACTGTACAACAGCTTTTAATTATCTATGACTATTTGTATATGCAATATTTCATATTTTACCACCTTTCCTGAGGAAGAACAAGAACTCAGTGGGCCACTGAAGTTCATTCTTTGTCACTGTCACCACAATCAATAACCAGGGAAATACAGGAGATCATCCTATCAGCAGCTTTCAGTAAAGTTAAACTTCAATCAGTTTGGAGAAATGACAGGGGTTCATCTCTAAAGCTTCTATTCTGCAGCGTTATATCAAGAATTTTCACCACCCACTGTGACAAATTCTCCCATCTTTATCTTGTCATTTCTCTGTGAAACCCTCAGGGAACACAAGCCTTTGGTTGAAGTGAAAGGTGCCATTGAAGTCAAAGGTTATTTTTTTCTCTGAGTTCAGTGGGTTCATGTATCAGTCTGCAAAGACTTAAATTTTTAATGGAGATGACCACGAGGGTTTTAATAAAGTAGAATTTCACTAAAGTTTGCCAGGTAGAAAATTTGGATTTAACTGAATGTGAAAAACCCTCACAGATTTATGAACTCCCTTCCTTCAGATCCCTGAGTGGTTTCTTACTCTTTCTGAACAACCTTTTGGGGACAGTCTTCCTGTGTAGATTCCCCAGCCCTAGGAACATCAGGGTCTGTGGCTCTGCAGAAGCACTGAAGGATTTCCATGCTCCCTGCATGAGGCAGAGATGGGAGAGCCCCCAGAGCCTTAGATGTAACTGTTCTTGGTTAGAAGGAGGGAAGTGTGAGTGTGGCTGTCCCCCAGCTCCTAGCACAGAGCCTTAGAGCTTTGGCAAAGCTCGTCTGAGCTGCTCTGCAGCTTCCAACAGGGCCATGAGGAGTGTGAAGCACCGTGCACTCCTGAGCAAAGGTCCGGCCTCCTTCTGCATAACTGGAAGCCTGAAGATTTCCAGATGTGTTCCTACACATCACTGCTGCAGTTCTGGGCAGGCCCACCATGCAGCTGCCCTGAGCAAGCCCTTGGAGAGGTGGGCAGTTGTTCTGTACAGCCCTGCTGACTCTGCCTTGCCTCCTGCCAGCCCTGATGCTGCCTGATGCAGCGGAGCTGCTGCACGGCAGCACAGCTGCAGACCTGTGCCCTGGCAGGCACTAACTGCAGTCTGGTGGTCTGGCCACAGCCAACCAAAAATGCATTTTCAGCTGGTGACTGCTGAGGTTTTTGTGAGCTTATGCAACGTGAGGAAAAATGTGTCATTATTTCTGCTCTGTTAAAAAAAGACACAAACAAATCCTGGTTCACGGAACCTTTTGAAATACTCACATTTCCCTTGAGCATGAAACTCAGAACTGCATCTGACTCTGGTTCCTGCAGCTGTCCTGGAGCCTGGAAGTCCCCACAAATCTACACTTAGAGCACTCTGGTTGGACTGTGACCATCCTGCTGAGTGAAGTGATGGAGGGGCTGAAAAATTGTCCATTACTTTGCTCCCAGCTGTGTGACACAGGCACTGCCCTTGCAAGGCCCTGCCTGCCAAAGGGATGGGTGCTCATGGAAGGTGATACAGTCCTGGTGGAGCATTCATACAGATGTAAGTTAAATGTAGAAAGGTTTCTTTACAGAGAGGGCAGCCCTGTGAAAACTGGATATTCAAGCTACTTTCATCATCGAGAAAATACAGAAGGGATCACAAAATCTGATAAAGTTTTGCTTAGTACAACTCTGCAAATTCAATTGGTGAGAATCACCTTACCTCATGTATATACTCAATTATTGTAAGTTTGGGGGAAACATTTCCTATTATAGTGGGATTTCAGAGGTTTCTACCCTAGCAGCTGGAAAGTGACATTATTTGTCACACTAATTTTGAGAATTCATTCAGACAGAGAAAACTACTCCTAGGTTTGAAACTTGTTTCAGAGTTTTGACTTTGTATCATAGCATTTGCACCACTGCAGGCCAGTGTTTGACCTCTGCTCAGTTTTACAGCTGTGTTTGTTAAAACACTTCACCTGTTTCCATTACAGAGAAACAAGTGAAGTGTTGGGTGGAAAGGTTGTCATGAAAGCAGTGAATTTCATGGTGATGAACAGGATCATCACAGGATGTATGCAACTCTTAAACTCCCCCTGAACTTTTGGACTTCCTATAAGAAAAATGTATGCAATCAAACCGACAGACCTGCACTCATTCTTCTTCCCCCTCCGTTTCTCCCAGCCTTTGGCCTGAACCTTTTGCATAGTGCAGGTCTCCTTGGCAATCTGAGTGCTGCAGGAGGATGGACCAGACCACTGAAATCCAACACTCCTCAGCTCTGCACGAGGGTGGAACTGGATCCTAGCTGGGGAATGGTGCTCCTGACAATTAACTACCTTTCTTCAAAGGTCATTTCTGCAGCCTGACTCTTGAAATTTTTTTGAGTTTTCTGAATCTGTTACATTTTATTTGCAGTAATCACAGATTTCGTGGGTTAGCTTCCACAAACCAAGAGCTCCAAAAGGAAAATCTAAAGTAACCCTTAGCTATACCCTCAGCCCCTTTTCTAAAAGATTTGTCTTGCAAAACCTCTCTGAATTGGTGACATGTATTAAAACCATTGCTTGCTGTCTGAAATTTGTTTGTGGTGATGCAATGATAGCGATTAAACGGATTTACAGCACACTACTGAGATACTTGTTCTGTGGGCTAAATCCAGTAAATGGTCTCAAGAGCCTGGCCCTTGAAATGAAATGCAGACCCCTGTGTTGTTTGTCTGCTCTTCATAGCTATATAATGCATGGGGAGAGTTAGGTGCTTTGGGATGTGATCCCAGAAGTTTACTTTGTCCAGCTCCCGTTTCAGAAAAGAAATCCTGAGGGTGATGAGTTATTTGAGGCTGACAGTGACACATGCAGGCTGCTATAAAGAGGCATCCTAACTGCTTTGAACAGACAATCAGACCTCTCAGATATCTCCTGAATAGTGTGACATGGGCTCCAGATTAGCAGATGGAGTTAAATAAAGTATATGTGGAAGATGTGGATGCTCTTGTACCACCTTCAGCTGGGAGACCAATGTGCTAAAAAGACCTGAAGGAAAAACACAAAGCATACTGTGATCTAAGGCCACTGAGCTTAGACAGTACTTAGCAAGCACTTATAAAAACATACACTTGTTTTAGGTGCCCAAGTCCTTCCTCAGTCTTGTTTTAAGTGATCAGGCCTGTGGCTCTGACCTGGGTCCTTGTCCTCCCTCACTGATGTGCTGAAGTCACTGCTAGTCTGAGTCCTGCCCTGCTGATCTCTTCCTTTCCCTTTCAGCATCACTGACTGTCATTGCTGTTAAGGCTGTGTCCAGCATGATAGCACTTTCTGTGAAGGGGAAAATGCAGCTAACTTACTCCGTTTTCTATGTCATGAGCGTTTTAATGGCAACTTCTTGTGCTTTCCAAATCAAGTAAGTGAGATTCTGCTTACCTACTAACCTTCATACATGTTTTATCTGACAGTTTTATTTGTTACTGGTAATGATTCCAAATAAAAGTTGCATTTTAAGGCAACAAATTCTGGCAGAGCCTTGACAGATGCATAAATTGCCTCCAGCTGGTTGTATTGTTTATTTAAACTTTATTTCTTAGATTATAATTGATTGTTATGGACACCACCTCCTCTCATTATCACCTTCAACAAGGTCTTCCCAAATGTACTTGCCTAGTTTTGGCACAGTTCTTAACACACTAAGTGAAATTTATGCTTATGTAGTTGTTTGGAAGTTACTTTTAGAAATCTTTATTGCTGAATAATCAAATGGCCATGTTTATCCTCATTATTCATGTCTATTCCTTAGTTTTATGGCCCGAGTCAGATTGAAGAAGAGAATTTATCCCATTTTTTCTCCCTTCCTCTGTTAAATCTGCATGTTGCACTTTGCTATCCTGTATGACTGTACCTTTCAAGTTTCCCCTGCAGGCCTCTGGTCTGTGAAGTGATTGGTTTATGCAGCCTTTGTAGATTGCTGGGGGTGGCAGCATGGTAAAATATGTCTTGCAGCTGAACAGAGTCTGTTCCCTTTCTGCCTGTCCCTCTGCTCCTGGTGCTGATAGCAGCCTTCAGTAATCTCATCTAGACTGCTCCAGTGTGAGCCTGAGTAGTTACTTGCATGATTATTTTCCGGCAGAAAAGCCAACCCAGCTTTTTCGTGGCAGAACACACCATTCCCATGTGGAATCAGAAAGTCCATGCATTATTATGCACTGACTCTCCATGGCTGACTCAGGAACTCCCCTGTAACAGATTATAAAGTGATTTACATCCAGCTTGTCTTCGCTGGGAGAACAGCTCCGGGCATTTAAATAGGAAATAAGAGCTTGGTAAAGAAGAAACTGCTGATCAAACTCTCCCTCTTGTAATATTTTTCTTTCTTTCTTTTGCTGGCCAAAATTAAAGCCAAAGTGAAACATGCCCATTTCATTCCTTGGGCTCAGCATCCCTTTTTCTCTAGTCTTTTGGATGCATTTTTTAACAGGGACATTGTTGTCAGACTGAATTTTTCATTTTATTTGTTTTTTCTCTTATTTTCTTTGACTGTCATTCATTAGCTGAGAGCAGCCTGTGCTGCAACAATCTCCTGGATCCAACTTTGGGCCTTGCTATCACTGTTTTAGTCCCTGTGACCAAGTTTGTTGCAAATGGGAGAAAATAATGAGGTGTTTTCAATGACTTCAAAATCCTGACTATCCTGTGGATATGTAGGATTTCTTTATTTTTAAAGCACCATGGAGACTGTTCAACAGTTGCTAAAATAACCACGCAATTATTTTAATGGCTAAAACAGATCCAAGCTTGGATTTTTACTGTGCACATATATTGCACCAGTGAAATGTTCAAGTGTGGTTCTTTTTACAGGCTTGAATATACTCTGCAGATTCCTGACTTTTCTCTCTGAAATAACAATTCACATAACAGAATATCTACAGGTGCATCCACAATGTCAGCTCATGATTCATCACTCTATGGGTGAATGTTGATGGCTGTGGTCTCTGTAGAAGTGGGTTAATTGCTTTGCCTTTTTGCAGATTGTGCAGGCTGCTCCACAGCCAGAGTCTCAGCCCTGCAGGTCTGTGTGCAATGTATGCTTCTGTGGTCCTGCACACTCTTGCTCATGATTCTGGTGAGAGTTCATGTTGCCTTTCTGAAGAGCAGGGCAGAGAGTTTCCAACCCAAGGAGCACAAGCTTGAAGCCACCTTCCTGAACTTTCCCAGCAGGACAGAGTGTTTCTGGGGTGTGATTTTAAGGATAAGCGTATAAATAAGTGTTTCAGCTAAGCTGAATTGAGCAGTAGCAGCAATGTGGACTTCAGCAAAGTGGAACAGAAGAACTCACATGTTGCCATGATGCCAATATACCCTTACACAACCTGTTCGAATCAGAGCAACTTGTCCCTGGCTGCTTGCAGGCAGCACTGCTTCCAAGAACCAATACAGATCATAAACAATTATTCTCTAGCATTCCTCCCTTATCTGTGGTAGATAAAAGTTTTCCAGCAATGCTTCAAAAATCTCTCCAGTGAGAGCCTATGGCCAGAAGAATCCATGCCAACCTTCTTGCTTTCTGCAGAGTCAAAACCAGAAAGTAAATTCAATGTGTGTGCTGTCCAGGGCTACTTGCTGTTGTGGTAAGAAATAGTCACACTGTTAAACTGACAAGAAGTGGCTTAACTTGACCTAAAGTGCAAGGAACCTCCTGTAGGCATGAGGTGCAATAATGCTTTTCTTGCAGGTTCTTGAATCAAGCAATGCATCTGTATGAAGTAACAGCAGTTGTCCCCATTAATTTTGTGCTCTCCACCTCCAGTGCCATCATTTCAGGTTTGTTTCTGACCTTCTTTCTCTGGAGAAAGATTTTTTAAACATCAGATTTTCAGGAGCAGGAACCCTGTGAATTAGAACCCAAACCTGTCATATTTGTCTTCATAGAAAGAAGTTTTTCCTAAGTCATAGGTACTTAAGTTCTGAAAAATAAATAAGTTCACAACTTCTGAAACAAAATAAATGGCAGGGTGTTAGAATTAGATCATCTTTCAGGTCCATCCTGACCCAAATCTTTCTATTATTCTATAAAAATAATCAAATTCTAACCTTTCCAAAATAGATATGTGTGATTTACTGTACCTTGCTGGCTTACTAGAAGTACCTGCATGCCTCATCTTGACATCCAGTAAATGCATTTACCATGTGCACACCCGTCTCTCCCTGTACGAACTGGTAGAGTGATTTTAACAGCCTGGCAAACTACTCAAACGACAACCAGCTGTGCTTCATAGTAGTTAGCGTTCATTCCATTTCAGAAGGTGGAATTCTGGGTTAAGTGAAAGAAATAAAATGACTACAAAAACTTTTTAAGCATTTAACATTTTATTCTGGGTGAGAACTTTGAACTCAGCATTGTTAAAGAGGGACTGCAAATCTTGGAAATGGTGTGCAGCGTAAGAACATGAGCTGGGAGGACGACTAAGATGCTGTATCAGCAATGAGCCAAAATGATCATGTTGTTAGAACATTTATGACTCATTTTAACACACGCTGGGGGCTTTCCTGTCATTGCTGTGCAGGAGTTTCTCATGCAGAGCTGCCATTAATGAGAAGGGGAGTTAGCTTCATGCACAGATTGCCTCAACACCTGTGTTAGAAGAGACCTACACTTTGTGACAGAGAGGAAACTCGTGCCAAAAGGGATTGTGTTCCTGTGACCATATGGGGAATTTGGCCTGGTGCCTCCTTAAAAGATCAAGTACCTATTCAGGAATGGCTTAATAGCTTTGAGAGTGGATACACATGCATTTGCACCAGGTTAGTTAAACCAGTGTAGGGCTTAGAAGAACAACCTCTGCTGAATCTTGCTGGTGTGCTTGTCTCATGATTCCCCCATTCCCACTTACACCTTTGAAGACATGGTCACACTTCAGCTGCACCGGCTCCCACTCTGGCGTTTCTAAGCAGAGCTATGCTCATCAGTGGTTTAAAGCTAATATACTTGGCTGTTAATAGGGGCAGCTGAGATCCAGATACACATCTGGTTCTGTCACCTCCACTACAGAGGTGCTAATTCCTGGAAGAGGGGTGACCAGAAAGAGCTAGTGATCCATTCAGCCAGAAAGATTTGGCAAACTTGGCTGCTGGAGCATTTCACATGGTGTAAACATCAGGGACACAGTTAGTTATTGAAAATCTGTTCCCAATTGGAGTTAAGATGTCCACATGGTCTGCTGGAGTAGCTTAATGAAGTCCATGAAGAACCTCTTAGCTGTATTGGTATGTCTCTGCTTGTGAATAAGACCTCAAGTTTGACCTGCACAGAAATTGTTGCTGACAATGCAGAAGATACGTGCATCTGTGCAATTACCAACCCACCACATGTTCCAACCCGACTGACTAAATCTTCACCAGTCCTATGCAGTATCTTGAGAAAGCCTAGATTATGGAATATAGGGCATAAAGTGAACACATCACAATGTGTATCGATACCTTATTTGGGATTTTTTTGCTCCGTTTAAGCATGACACTTCTCCTGACCCTCTCAGCTGTAATTCATATCACTTGGAAGCCAGTCAAGATCTGCAATTCTTGTTTCTGTCACATTCCAGGGGTCATATTTTATCGGGAATTCCAAGGTGCAGCTTTACTGAGTGTGTTCATGTTTCTGTTCGGGTGAGTGTATCAGCCTAAAATCTGCACTAAGGTTTGTACTGAAACAGCATTGCCTTGTGGAATCTCTTCTTTTCTCAGTAAGAAGAAACCTGACTTGTTATTAAAGTATTATGGAATAGCCATTATAGTAGGATAAAAAAAACATTAAAGGCAAGATTGATGTCTGTGCCTTGGGAGTTTGGAGGCCTGGTTTTGAATCCAAATATGTAAAAATGTGAGACACTTGTGAACTACTAATCTCATGATGGAATGAAAAACCAGCATCATGTGTTCCTCCAGCAGGAAGGAGAAGTCACTGCTCTCCACCAAATATCAAATTATAGGAGGTGCTTTTACAGCTGTGATACATCTCCTCCCATGTTACCTTCCACTGGTGTGTCTGGCTGGTTTTTTCTGCCCCTAAGCATGGGCAATTATATCAGCTGCTTGCCTACGAGGCAGTCCTGTAATAACATTGTAAGAACTCTCCCCCATCTTCCAGCGTCAAGAAAGACACAGCGTGCCTGCAGAAAAATTCAGAGCATGCTAAATAACTTTTTGCAGAATGGTTTAGGTCTTGTGAGAGCAGAAACCTTCTCCTGGCTACCAGCACAACAACTTTGGGGAGAGGTGACAATTATAATAATGGGCACGAAATATTTAAAAGATCTCCTAGAATTGCTGGAGGTGTCTTGCCACAGTGCTGTCATATAAATGGGGCTGATAGCTACAGACATCTTCATCCTCTGCAGTTGGGCTGGAGTAGGTGCACACAGCTGCTATCTTGTCTGACTGCTGGAAAAGAGACAAAAAATGGAGATGAGCAACCATGTATTTGGCAGATAGGAATTAGGGGTTGTGTTTCCAACACACAGTGGATAGAACTTGTGTCCAACCACAGCAGTTTTTCACTGCTCCTGGCTTACAGCCTGCCCCTGAGACACACAATCAAATGAGAAAAACAACAGAGATGATGATTGTCCGCAGCTAGACTGAGTTGTTAATGAAATTGCACATGCTAGAATGCTAGCTTGGATGCTCTGTGAAGATTTGCTTAGGGATTCAAATGTTGAGGTCTCACACTCACAGGCATCTGATTAGGTATATATTGCTGGAAGTGTAATTTTGGCTGTGGAGCCTTTGGAACTGATAATAAAGCTTCAGGAGGGAAAAAGTAGACTGAAAGAAGCCCAAAATAAATTTACAGAGCTGCCAGGAAGAAGTGTTTCTTTATAAACTCAGCAACTTGGATTTGGAAGTCCCTGAAAAAGAAACATGGAAAGAAATTCTCATCTCAATGCAGTGAACTGTTTCTAATGATACTGTGCCACTGTTATTTTGCAGGTGTCTCCTATCTTCCCTTGGTGTGATTATAATTGCAAGAAATAAAACAGAGAAGCATTTACAAATTCCTTTTATTGACTGTGGACACATTCCTGGTAAGTAGGACTTTTTTTCTGTCTCTATTTAAATGAGGTATCAGATAATGGGATGACCTAGGAGAATTGAGTCACAAATGTGCTCTAGTCATATTTAATAAATATACTGTTCCCTTAATTTCTATTCCTGTTCCCAACAGATTTTTCAAATAATTTTTCTGGGTTTTTCCAAGTTATTGTTACAACTAGTCAAATGAAAACAATGATTACTGGAGCAAAGAATGTTTAAATGATGGATTGGTGGGGAATTTTGTTTTATTGAAATTCTTTACAGAGTTGTTGTTTTTTCCTTCTCTCACCATATTTCCTTAGGACAAAAACTGACAGGCAAAATACAACCAGGTTCTCACAGTTCATGCTATGGCACACTGAAAAAGGAAGATGACTCAGTGAAAAGGCAAAGCTGAAAGAAGAATGTGCCAGTTAACAAGAGGAACACCACTGGAACAAGGATCAGTAGCACCTTTTTATTGAGCATGTTCAAGTATACATTGAACTTCTTTATGTTGATGAGTCATAGTATTATTTAATACTAATTAATTTATCCCATGATTGTACCAAATGTAATCTAAAGATAAAGGAAGCCTTAACATAAACCAAATAACCATTAATAAAATGAAATATTCTCCTAGTATTAATGCCTCTTGAGGACATTTTTAGAGTTTTAATTGCTTTTAAATGCAATGAGCACAGAACAGGATTATAAAAATTCCCCTTTGGAGCTCCTTAGATCTGTGTCAAAGTTTAAAGACAAAGGTGAGAAATTAGAATATTTCTAAGTGACTTCCAAGTATTCTGCTATACATATAATCCCTTTTTAAACCTCTTCTATCCTGTTCAGGAGTCAAAACTGTATGCATATATGCAGTAGACACCAACAGGTACACAAAAATAATTTTGTATTGTGTGTAGAAGAGCAATCCTGATTATCTCCTACCATCAGATTAATTCTCTTCCAAGAAAATCAGTCCTCGTGTGAGGAGTGGGAAGGTAGTATTTGCCATAAACACAGGCACATGGGCACACGCACACATTCGAGGTGCCCAGCCAAGGCCTATATTAAGGGTATAGGGTACTATACCTGACAATTTACATCCTTCCAGAGGATTCCTGAAAGGACTGGGCTGGGCTCTGTGATCAGTTAGACAGAGTCTGGTCTGAGTTTTCACTTCTGTTTTCAGCAAAATAAGAAAATGCATGTATTTTCAGAGGAAGCGGGGTAGCCAGGGTCCCTCTCTTGGTATGTCTTGGGAAAATACCCCTAAAAAGGTAGGGCAACTCCTGTTACCACTGGTAATTCTGTATGAGGAAAGGCTGTAAAGAATAGGACCACAAAGAGTCACAGTAACTGTACAATTTCCCCTTCATTAATGATTGTCTCCACAGTGATTTGAAGAGCCAGCAGTGAAGGGAACAATGACAGTACAGGCTTTGTGTTCACATTTGGTGTCTCTCCACCCCAGTGTCCCATCAGAAAAGCTTCTTCTAGGCATTCATCATGGATGTACTTTTCCCTGTGTGTGAGGGACTTGCCTGTCCCTCAGGCAGCACAGTGAGGATTGGTCACATCCTCTGCATAAACAAAAGAAAGTGCTCTTGAAGTTTATTTCATATTAAGATAGGTACAGGTGAAGATCCATAAGACAGTTTCGTTTCAAATGCTACAAAGCACGCATAGAGCTGCAATGTTTTGTGTGCAGCAATGTCCCAGGAACTATGGTACTTGGGGACTTGTGAGGATGTTTTTCAATGTGGATCTTTTCCAGCTGACACGGGACAAGACTGTGTCTGCACCTTATTTGTACCAACTGTTTGGCTTTGCCTTCCTTTCCTGCCTAACATCTTGAGTTCAAGTTTCTAAAGATTAAAATTTTTTTTAAAAAGCATGTGACTTTTACAGGCTTTCTCCAGGGAGTAAAGACATGCCTGTCTTTCTTTTGCAAGTCAAATTTAAGCTGCTCTCTAAGTCTCAAGTGAGAGTATGTGCTAAAGATAGAAATGAGAGGCCTACAGGTTTTCATTCTGTGACCTGAGAAATGAATGGTGAAATGGGAAAAAGGATTTTGTATTGTTGGTTTTTTTTAATTATTGGCCTTGGGCATCTTTCTGAAATCTGTTTCCGTGGCTCTGGAGTGCTGCAGGAGGTAATAAAAATTATCAGGTATAGGATTTTATCTTTAAAGCAAGAAATCAAATGTAAAAATCTGTGGCAAAAGTTATTTATTTTAAATTGCTGTATTTCATCTTCAAATTTCTTTTTCTTTCCTGTGCATTTATTTTAAAAAAAATATAAGGGTTAAAATGTTTTATATTAACTCTATTATTGTATTTCAAAATAATTTGTGGACCAAAACACTGGTAGAAATTATGTGCAATTAAAAGTTCTGATTTGACATGATCTTTGAGATGTTAATATATTCCAACTAATTGATGTATTACAGGATCGGAAAAACTCAGTTATGAGAATTCATTACTGTTCTGCCAAGAAACAGACATGACTTGTTTCAAGAATCTGTTTCAATGTTATTTTCAGATCCTGCTTGCCATACTTAGGTTGCAAACACCACAGGCAAATGCCTGCTAAAAGAAAAACCTTTGCACTGGAATAAAAAAAGGTCTCAGGAGTCCTTCTGATTAAAATCGAGTTATTTTCTTGCAATGGTTTTCCTGACATCAAAAATGTGGGCCAGAAAATAAGCTGCAGAGCTTGTGCCTGCAGACTGAATTTTCCTGAATAGATCTTCCATGGGATCTGCAGAAACCAAACCAGGAGAAGGTGTGGTGGGCAGGCAGCATCTCATGTGGTCCCTCAGGCTCCAGCTTGGGATTTTTGACAGAGCAGGACCAGCAGGACTCATTTAGCGCTTGTTCCACTGCTGGTCACGCTGCAGAAAGAGATGAAGTATTAACTGGCCATGGGCCTGGAAATGGGAGCTCTGGAGTAGAGCAGCACTGTTCGATTTTTGCCATAAAATATCAGGATGCCTTTACCAACATTTTCAGCTGGCAACAAATAAAGTTTGGATTGGTTTTATCTGTTTTCCCCTGGGAGGGACCTGGTGTTCACCTGCTACTCGCTCCAGCCCAGCTTTTGGCAGACTCACATTTTGCACATAAGGGCACTGGTCACCTAAAACCAAAGGAAAGAGTCTGAACTTTATAAGGGTTTGAGTTTCTGTGCTTTGAAGCTGTGGTTTCATGCACCTGGCAAACTGCTTGAATGGATCAGCACTACCAAAAGGCTCATCCTCTTTTTCCTAAGCCAGTTCAGCTCACCCATCCTGCAGAAAGCATCTGCATCCTTCTCCTTGCTGGGGTGGCTCTCTGAACTGCCCCAACCAGACTGACTGGGACGTGTGATGTGACAGATGTGAAAAGGGGGAAAGGGAGTGCAACCTCTCTTGCTTCGGGGGAACTGTAATAGCATTTCTCTCCTTCTGAGGAGATTCTCTATATAGCAGCCTTTCTGCTAAGACTACTCTTCCTGTACCACCATGCCCCAAATGCAGCTGTCAGCTTCCTGGAGCTCTTTTAAATGCCACACTCACTGGTTTGTGTATACTGAGTGATGAATAGCCCAAAGTGGGACCGGGATAGGCAGCTCGTGACAACCAGCAGTGTCCAAAGGACAGATAAAAGCCTGGACACATGTCTGACTGTAAATGATTCTAAGGGCTAATTTTTTTATTTTTGGTGACTGTTTGCAATAAGGTGCATAAACAGTGCTGGAAGAATGGACTGAAAAGTCTTCTGTACTCAAACTGTTCTCACCCATGCAATGTCTTCCAGCCCTCTTTATGCAGGATCGATGGCTGCTGGCAGAGAAAAATGCTCCCTTTTGTAACACTGGGGTGCAGATGATTAGACTGAGCTGTCAGTGTGCCCTTTTGTTACTGTCCTCTGAGGCTTGACATTTTTCTTGTTCAAATGTGTTTGTTCATTCCTTCTGCAGAAATCAGCTGGACTGTGTTAGCAACTAGCTGAAAGGAGATAGAGGCTAAGTACCATAATTATTATTGGAGAGCCAAGCTGGAAGATTTACAAACCAAGGCCACTTAGAGAAATGTTTAATGCTCTCGATTCTCAGGAGTTTGAGAAATCCTGAGTTTGCAATGTTTTTGGGTTCTGGGATAGAGTCAGGGACATCAGTGAATAAATAGTGATTTCATATAATTTTGTTGTGGTTTTAGTTCAGGTCTTGTTTTGGTTTTCCCACCAGTTTGGGAGGGAAGGATGACTATTCTTTGCCTAGAGAGGAAATACGACATTCCCTTGGCAGATGGGAGATGTTTCAACCTTTTGAAGCTGGGAAATTTGTAGAGGCACCTCCCAAGCACCTGGCTGATGTAACCCTTTGGTTATAACATAAAAGGAGGCAGCAGTGGCAAATACACCACTACATATTAAGCACTCCTGACCATGAAGGAAGGATCCTTGTCCTCTTGCTGTGTGTTAAATCTGTTCAGAGCACATGTAGTCATTTTGGCCCCTGAGATGCACATAAATATATTTTTGAGACATGCTAAATGGGATGCCTTGAGCATCATATCAGTGTCTCTTGGGCATATACTGTTCTTCATGCAGAGCTCTTGCTGGGTCTTCCCTATAGGGAAATTAGACTGTGTGCTGTCTTTATGGCACAGGATTGCTCTGATAAGACGATACAGTACTGTCAGCATATTCCCATGACCTGGGAAGTGTTTATAGAGAGTGCCCAACAAGGAAGTTGTGTAAACCTGCAGTCTTGGATTACATTCCCTTTATTTTCTGATTACCACTAGAGTAAGCATGGACAGTTTTGGTATCCACAGAAGCAAAATTATTAGCACCTCAAGAATCTCCAGGCCTGAGTAACAGATTAGGTGGCTGCTGAGTAGGTTTTTTACTTAGTCTAAATCACAGTTTTACAGTCAGGCCCCTAAAGTTTGTCTAAGACTTTCAAAGTGCGTTTCATAGTACAAATCTCCATCAGTGTTTTGGTTGCTAATGGACTCAGGCATCAGTCCCAGGGGAATCTGTGTCACAAGGCAGCCATGAGAGGGACACTGCTGGGCAGCAGACTCAGAAATTTATTGTGGTGGCAGAAAAGTTTTGCATGAACACAGAGAAATTACTCCAGGGCACCAGTAATGTACAGTGGTCTCTTGGGCTCCTTTTTGACAGTGTCAACAAGGCACTTGTTGACAGTTTTCAAACTACAGCTACTGTAAAGGAATGATTAAACAGGTGGTGCTAACAACCGACTGCTTTATGTGAAGTTAATATATCACTCTAGTCCATGGCACTAATACCTTAAACATGAAAAGTGGCCTGTGGCCATTGATGAGGGAGCCAATTTCTGTACTTTGCTAAATCACTTTGGGAAAAATAGAAATGATTGATTTAAGCCTCCAGCACAAACATACACTTGCCAGCTCTCCAGTTGAAGATTTCCACTCTTGGAATAGGCATTGCCTTGCCTAGATGAAATCTTTGGAGTCTGCTACCAGGTCTTTTGCCAGAATCATTAAACTGCTTGAAATAACAGCACTGTCATTTGTCTTCCATTTGATAGCTTGTGGGCATAAATCCAGAGCAGCATGAGCATAAGATCAGGAGTTTTCTGTCCATTTGAAAATAAAAATTAAAGCTTTTCTTGAGTTTCAATAGCATGTGTACCAGCTGCAGAGCTTTGTGCTGTCTAATGCTCTCCAGTGCCCTCAGCCAAGAATAGGAGAGAATGCTTGCATGGCACAGAGGCTGCCAATTATGCAGCTATTACCTGTCACTGAAGGTCATTGCTGGTAACACATTGTTCAGCAATAGAACACAACAAAAAACTACTGACCTTCTATTGATTTTTCAAGAACTGCTGTTCTGTGCTTTACACAATGCAAAAGAGTTGAGGAATATAATTTACTATGACTAAGCATCGCAGTTACGCATATGTTTATTTTTCCCTGACAATATTTAACAGTAAACTAGCAACATGTCCCAACAATACTGACTGGATTCTGGGTGCGTGGATGTGTTGCAGGACTTGATTTAGCGCTGTGAATAAGGAAGGTTGTTGATACAAGAAGTCAGCTTTATGTCATCTGGCTTGGCCTCTTTTACAGCTCAAGTCAGGCAACCTCCTCCAAGCACTTGTGTGAACCCTTTGACCCATCTACAGAAGAAGACCTCCCATCCTCTCCTACTAGTCAAAGTAGAGGAACCACCAATGCCATTAGTAATTTTTACTAGCAATGAGTCATTGTTTGCTTTTAAACTCTGCCTTATGTCTATTTTAACTTGTTTAGCTTGCAGCTATTTGCCTTTTGCCAGTGGTTTAAAGCACTTGGTAAGTCCCTCTAGCAAAATACATTATGATGGATTTTTCACTAAGCTGGAAACAAACTTTCTAAGTCTCTCACCATCAGATATTTTTGTCAGCCCTCAAATTGTTTCCTGTGGTTGTTTTCTGCTTTCTCTCCATTTTTCCAGTGTCTGCACTTGGCCAAACACAAAGTAAAAATCAGATTGTAGCAGCACTGAAGAAGTAGCACAGAGCAGGATGAGACCCAGCGTGCCGTGGTTGGATGCCTGGCTTCCCCACTTCCCACAGCTGCAGCCC